GCTGAGGGAGAAATAGATTCTGGGCAAGCAATGAGAAATAAGTGCAAGTCATCAAGCATGGCCCTGCTTGGCTTTTCCCTTTCCGTCTAATAGTTTAGATGTGGTGATATGAAATGTTGATGTGAGCTGATCAGCGTGAGTTTCAAGCAGAGTCATTTGATTTAATGAGGTTTGGCAGTCGTTCCAGTGCCTGTGTCAAAGCCCAATCATGTGAAATCTGGATGACTCAAAGCCATCAAGGGACTCTGGAGTTATTTTCAGTCATTTTATTTGTTGTAGCACGACAGAGCATTAGGGCCACTTGAAGGCAAAAAGATAAATCTGAGATCGGGCATTAAAGTCGCAATATTACTTATTTTATTGAGAATAAAGTTGTAATGTATTATGGGAAAAAAAAGTCACAGCATTACAAGGATAAAGTGTTGATTTTAGGGCTTGATAGGGTTAATGTCACCAGATCAACCGGTCACGCAGCCTCTTGTTAAATTTACTTTAGTCTCAACTTAGAATAACAAAATATCAAGGATATCTTTTTTATTTCAGAAAAGGAAACTTTTTGAGATTTCGAGAATATTGTTGTAATATTATCATTTAATGATAAAAGTCATAATTTGAAAGATAAACATTTGTAATTCTTTGAGAATAATATTGTAATTTATCAGAAAAAAAGTCATTATATTACAAGATAATAAAGAAAATCTTTTGAAACAACAAACATTTCCTCCTCCACAAAAGAGACCAAAGAGTTTAGTCTGTTTGGTTTTTCTTCCTGAATAGACACAGTTTGTTGCACAATCTTTTCAAACTCCTGAGACTTGAGTTAATAGTGTTCAGGTGCTGATGAGCCAATAGATTACGTATTTTGTTATTTGTGAAACTAAAGTTTAACTTAACAAGATGCTCCACATTCCCCTTTTTAAATGCACACAATAGGCTGATCCTCTGATTGTGACTTTAGCTCAAAATATTTGCACTTCATCCTTGTCATATACTATATACTACATAAATTTGACTTTTTTCTTGTAATATTACCACTTTATTCTCAAAGTCAGATGAGTTCTCTGTGTGATATGTGGCTGTAACATGTCATCACAGCATAGATCACTTTATATGTTGACTTTTATTTTAAACTGTCATCAAGTAGAAGAACAGGTGGGAAGCGCCAGTTTTCACTAAATGTGTTGGTTATGAAATATGGCTGAACAAGTCCAGCGGCTAAGTGATGAAGAAAAAAAATAAATCGTGAATTACACGCGACAAGCTGTTGCTGCTCAATAACGCAGGCCTGCAATCCGTTCACAATTCAAACACACACACATGCACTCGCACAGCCCTCGGTTGGGCTGTGTTTTATGAGGAGGCACGCTGCATGAGGTGATCAGCATATGTTTTGTTGACATAAATTTTAAATTTATTGCCGTTGTCAAAAGTGACTGTTGGACAAAGTCGATTATTAACTGAGTAAATGGCCTGAGAGAGTTTTATGTGAACTTCCTTAATGGCTACAGTCAGTCTGTTTCAAATCACCCTCCCCAAGCTCCCACCCACCTCACACACACACACACACACACACACACGAAGAAACACACAAACACACACATCATAATCTATTTCAGAGGCGCAACATGAAAGCCGTGTGTGTGTCGAGGTCTCTCTGAGCTAAATCACTGAGCTGAGACAATATTTTAGTATCCTTTTACATATCATTAAACTTTGTTGAAGCTGAATCACAGTATATTATTAGCTCCGCTTAAGCACATAAATCATTTGGAGGGATATAAATCACCCAAAATGCCTTTTGTTTCTAATTACCATTTCATTCTATGGAATCCGAAGCTGCGAGCGCACCATGGTTGTGGTGTCGCTTCCTCTCCGTCCTCAGACCAGCAAATTACTTTCTGAAAAATTCATATCTTGAAGGTGACCTTGGTTTTCTGTCTGGTGTCTCTCCCGCTCGCCCCAGGGAACAAGTTAGAGACAAGACATATTTTTATTTTCACCTTTCAATCATCATGTGAACCTCTGTTCTGGATCAACTATGATCAAATGTGACTCATTAAGTTGCAGTTAAATAAATGTACTTTATTCTGACTCATTATCCATCACAAGTCTGGTTACCTGAGTCGAGCCTCTCTTGGAACAGTTGTATATCACCGCAATCAAAGGTCCACACTAGCTGCTGTTGCTAATTCTGTTGTCATTTGACCCACTTTATATATTTTCTTAAATACTATACATTAAAACGAGAATGGCTTCTTACCCTATGGACAATGCCAGCAGTGCTTCGAGTGCTAAACCTGTCCTTTTACAGACTAAATTACTGGAACAGCTGCTGGTACCATTCTGTTGAACATCAAGTAATGTGCTGTTTCAGTGTATAGTGTGAGCTATTTCAGTGGAATTCAACTCACACACACACACACACCACCCTTCATCAACACTTACATGTACGCTGGAAATACATGGCATTGCTTCCAGTTCGAGTGGCCTTAATAAGTCCATCCGTACCTTATCAGTGCTCTGTCTGGGGGGCACAATGGTCAGATTGAGGAGGGACACAATGGGCCTCTGAAAGGCTTTGTGCTCTGTGTGTGTTGTGTTGTGGTTTACCACTTGCGTGAGTTTTCCCCCTTATCAGAGTGAAAGTCTGTGAGAACATCACCTATGATCCTTAAAGGGAAGGGGAAAAAAAAAAAAAAAAAAAATCAATTCTGTTCCTTTGCTTCGTCCACTTCGTCGTGTGTGGCTGAATTTGGCTCATTCCTATCGGATGACTCGTCAAAGACAAAATGACATGAAGATGTTTTTTTTTTTGGTATCTAACAGTAAAGGTCAGGCGTTGGTCCTTCGGAGGTGAAAACATTCGATTGCTGCTATTTTGCACGAATCACGGAGCGGGAGTTCCAATGAAGAGGTGGCAGGGATCGCACTTTGTCCACTGGCAGTTGCTCTAATAGTCCAGAATGCCATGCATCAGTCTGGTGCAATTGCTATCGATCTTTTCTACTATATGTGTAACCAAGAGCAGCACGTTGGCATACAGCGTTTGATGGCGTACTGTTGTTCCTGCCTTTCATCAGGCTCGAGTATCTCTGCTGGTTGTTGAAAACCAGGAAATGTAATGAACTAAAATGATGTAGGACTCTGCTCTGTCCCATCACAGATTGATATCTCGCAGTCTTAGAGTTTGAGTTCCCCGTCTCTCTGAGCCACTCGCTCCTGTTTTGCTTTTTCAAGTGTCTTCTTATCCCTTTTGGGGGCATTTGATCCTTATAGGGCCTTGTAATTACTCTCCAGTGGCCAAAGGGACGTTATTCTGACTTTGATTTCCAGGGTCTCTCCACTGAATTTTGAACCACGACAATGTGCAATTATGATTTCCTCATTTCAGATTTGTCCTCCTCTTCTTTGCAGGGTTTAGATGTTTAGATGAAAGCAATTAATTGTCACTTAAGTCATACTAGACTTAATAACTCATGCAGCCATTGCCAAAGGACAATATAATGTCTCTCTGTCTGTCTCAGTCTCGCTCGGTCTCTCGCTACCCCTCCTGAGGCACAAAAGAGAGCTGTAAATCAATTTGCATTCGACATCTGACATCAATCAGTCATGTTTTGGGAGAGTGGCACCACCTCCTCCTCTGCGGCTTTGTTGAGAGACACTAAGATGGATGGCTGTCATCTCGCCCAAGTTGAGCGGATCCCTTATCAAGGGCATTGTTTCCCTGAGAATGCACTCGGCTGATCACTCCGCGCCACCTGACTCGTCGACAGAGACCATACAATCCATCTGTTTGACGTGGTCTTGTTTTGTCTGCCAGAAGCACCCGGAGTATAGAATCTGTCATATTTCCTTAAACATTTCTGGTTTATATATATTTCGAGCTTTGCATTAAGACAGTCGACTTGATTCTGGAAACATGCTCATCAAACCAAAACCTTGTTTTTTTGTTTTAACCAATTATTAAAATAATTCACCAGAGAAATGTAATTGTGACTTGATATTTTTACGGTTCTCTCTCCAAATATTTGGAAACATAAATGCAGATACAGTTTCTCTTTGAGAGGCTCATATTGACCAGTTTTATCAATTTCGGACATCAATTAAAAAATATGTGTTAGAGCAAACTTTCATTGATTGCATCAAATCTGCACCAACTTTAACAATGAATCATTTCAGTCTTGAATGCGTGAGCCTTTTGGTACCTCTCTATTTGAAGTTCTCGGGAGGCTTAGGGCACTGAGGCAGTTGTTTGGCAATTCGTGTCACCTTAATTGCTTTAGAGCACTTTCAGATACCTCTCAAGAATAATATGCTTTGTAATAAGCCGTGGGGTCTTTGGGGATTTTGTAACAGAGAGAGTTGTGAGGGCAGACTTTATGTTGTCAGATGTTATTTCGTTACCCAACCTTCAAGGCCTTTGCCACCTAATCAAATATTGACCCTTAGCCTTGTCTGAGCTGGTGCGTTTGAACTGTGTTACATCCTCATGACTGTTTGTAAAAAGACATTTCAATAGAAGACCTGGGGCTACACATTATCTTCTGTTAAGTCAAAAACTGCCCCATAAGTAGTTCATACACTAAATAGCTGCCCTGTGTGTTCTCTATTTAGCATCTTATCCGTCTGCAGCACTTGAGCTGTAGGGAGCCAACAAAGCCTCTGCTTGAATCGCATCTTGTGATTTACAGCACCCAGTCACCGTCTGCTGCTCCCTGCAGAAGAATATGTGCGGTGGTTGGACGGCTTGTTGCACTGATGGTTATTGTTATGTGCTGATGTTATGATTTATGAAGTGTGACAGCCCCCCACCCCCACCCCCCCGAAACTGCAAAAGGCCAAACCTTTAGCCGTGCTCAAAGTCATCAGTTATGCATCTGTGAAAACGCCACTTCGCTACAGACACGAATATCTGTTTTCAGCGATATGCACGCACAACAGTGACTTTCTAACCAGCAGAGTCCAGACAGTAATGTGTTTGTTTTGCTCTTTGTCAACAGGAAGATGCACAGTGGAATGAAGACCTACGGCTGTGAGCTGTGTGGGAAGAGCTTCCTCGACAGCCTCCGTCTACGGATGCATTTGCTGTCTCATTCAGGTAAAGAAATCTAACTAACCCAAATCACTAAACCCCAGACCATCATATAGAAAAACATTACCCCCTGTTTCCTGGTGATTTTAGTGAATTGATTGATGGAAATAATTGATATTTCCTTACTGTCACTGAAGCATTAAACAGCAAAGTGCTATTTTCAAAGAAGACAGAGATGAATCCAAATTTTGAGAATATGAGTCTTTTAAAACTTTGCTGGAAATTCTGTAGAAACTAATGGAGGTCAGAGGTGAGTGAGCTGCTCATTAAAGGGCCAACCAATGGTTTGAACCCAATTATTTCTTATGACAACTTTCCAACTTGTTGCCATTCATTTGGCCACAGTTTCCAGAATAACTTATGTTAAGTTAAATGACTTTTCAAATCACTCTGCATTTAAAACAATATATTTTGGGAATCTCCTTTTTTTTTTAATCCACCGAGGAAGTTTCCTGACCTTGTTTGTTAAATCATCAATAGAATCAAAAAAAAAGTACTGAACCAATTTATATAAACCTCTGGGAGGGGGGGGTCCATTACATTTTTGGGTGTCGATCAAGTGAACGGGGAAGAATCAGGTAATTCTTTGACTCTTTCCTCATTTTGTCGATCGTCAAAATACTCCAGAGCTGATGCGAAACAGTGTTGAATCCACCATTGTTTGGCCTTGGTGGTGGTGGTGGTGGTGGTGCCGTTATAGTTTCCTTATTTGTTCACTTACATTTTCTATCAATTTTATCTCCTCCTCAAGGATGCAACCTTGCTTCCTCATCGGGAGCTGCAGCCCTGAATTTAAGTTTCGTGTCCTTGAGAGTTTCACTTTGATCGTTTATTTACATGAATGGGAAACAGAAGATAACCCTGCAGCCGGGTGTTGGTGCGGTCAGGACTAGTAAAGCTTGCAAGGTAATGGGCTAAGTTTGGATGGTCTTTTTAACAGGAGACTGAATGTCTTGCAGATTTACACACTAATAGCCCGACTGCTGCCTTTACTCCTCATAAATGTGGTTAATTCACAGACTGAATGAGACTGATTTACTGCAGTATTAATACACAGCACAGTACATAAGTACTGAAAATAGATCTTTTATATTTCATTGAAAGTATCAACAATGGGCCGACACTGTTTACGCTGCAGCCTGCGAGCAGAATAAAGGGATAAGTTACCTCACATGTGCTTTATCTCACTATAAACACACGCTGCTTTTTTGAATATGCGAATGTGGAGCGTAACCCACTTTCGGTGATTTGTGGATTAAGTAACTGTTCAGCCCAGTAAATCTGAGCAGCTCTGGGAAACTTACCCCGAGAGGTGCCTGCACATCATCATCCTGTCATTCTACACCTCCGTGACATTAGAGGTCCAAGAGTCAGTGCAAGTCAGAAAACACTGGACGCATTGATTGGTCCAGCCTGACACTGTTACACCCACCCCCCAAAACACACACACACACACACACACACACACATACGCGTGCCAGCAGTCCCTGTGCACTGAGCCTACTTAGTGCAGCGCCGCTTTAATGGCATGGGCCGCTTTTTATAGGCAGCAAAGAGCTCCTCAGTCCTAAGGCCCTAAGTGCAGATGGTTTATTGAGACACTGTAAAAGCCATGGGACCTCTGAGGGAAGCCCTCCTGCACACACACATGCACACAGACACACACAGACACACACACAGACACACACAATCCCAAATCCATGTGTTGTCGTTGGCTCTGTTCTGCTTGGTCCCCTGTATGTTTTCCAGTGGTCGCACTAAGTGGTCAGAATTGTCTACTTGGCGTTACCGCCGTCAGCCGCGAGAATACTACCAGCAACACCCCCCCACCACCACCACCACCACCCCCCTTTTTGCCAACCACTCTCAGTAGACGGAAAGCAATAATTGCCAAGATCATTTGTTTGTTTGTATCTCACCAAATTTTAAACAATGAACTGCGATGGATGCCGACGCTCCCGCTATGTTGTGACAAAGATGAATGACAGACGCACGCTGGGCCAGTGAATTGGCTCAGCACCGCAGCTCAGCGTGTCAAAAACAAAACTTGCTCCAAGGAAATATTCACTGTTTATTTTAAAATTACACCCCGTTTTCACAGCCCCTGCTGCAAGCGCACACACACACACACACACACACACACACACACACACACCCCACACACACACCCTCCTCGCTCACTTGTCAAAGCAGCGAGGAGAGAGAGCTCCGTCACAGGAACAAATGGGATGGTGATTGTTATGGAGATTGGTCTGTCTCTCTCTCTCTCTCTGTAGTAGTTTGCGCGTCTTCGGGCACATGTTGTGTTTCCCTTGTTGGTGTCACTTCGCGCTGCTGCACAGTTCAGCGGCTGGAGTGAGCATGAATTCAAAACTGGTCTTAAAGTCAGGAGTTATGACAAAGTGGGAGCTGAGGGTGAGTCAAGGTAATCTGGTTGACTCAGACACTTGTTGCGTGTTCCTGGCGTGTGTATCTGTGTGTGTGTGTGCGTGTGTTTGTGTGTGCCCAGTACTCTTCATGCTCCAGTGCAGATTATCCTTAAAGAGCCATGCTCAGACAGAAACTCAAACTTTATGTTGTCACTGCATTAGTCATCGTAGTTTTAATAGTAAAACTTGTAAGCAGTACTTACTGGTGCATCGTATCTTTATGTCCCCATACTAATACTCATTCAGGCAACTTTTTAAATCATCCAAACATTGAGTTTTAAGCAGTTTTATCATTTAACAAACATTTATATCAGTTGGCTAGAAATGAAATAGAAAATAGTTTTTACTTCCATATGTAAAATAACTTACCTCTGTCCTATCATTTGTTGATTTCATCCAAAAATCTTCTAACAATGTTCAAACCCAAAGAAATCCAGAATTTTACTCAAGGAAATTAAATTTGGTCGCATTTTAATTAAGTCATTCATGTCTCATGGTCCTTCGTTCAGGCCAAATCGTCCAGTTTGTGCGTTCTGACAATTATAAGATTAAAAATCGGTTAAATCTGTCATTTTGTTCTTTAACGTTTTTTAAATTCGGTGAATAGTTGAATATCCTCTAGTGCGCACAAGGCTTTTAGTGATGTCACAGTTCTCAGGAAAAGGACTCAGGAGGCTGATGTAAAACTAAAACAGTCTCTGGTTTTTATTTTGTACATATCTCCCCCAAAACACTTGAAAGGTCAAAAAACAATGGGAATCATAACAGTCAGGGAAAGAACCGACACATGGCACCAAAACAAGCTGGCAGACAGGAAGTGGAAACGGTGGGTGTGTATTAGATGTATTAACGAAGGACGAGAGATGAACAGGTGAGTGGAGGAGGAGGCAGCTCAGGTGAGAGTCTGAAATGAACACGTGAATGAATGAAAGGATGGAGAAAGAGACTGAATCTCCAAACCATGACGAGGGAGGAGAGGTTGTGTGTCGTCGGGGTTTGTTGAGGCCTGAGAGATTCGGTAATGACTTCTTGAGTTTGAATACCTTGTGAATTTTGCAAAAATGAGAAAAAGATTCGACTGGAAGTCAGAAGATAAACACAGTGTTCCGTGAAGTGCTGCGACCGCATCAGCGAGGTAATCATCACCTGAACAGATCAGTCTGAAGCCCTCCTGTGATGTCAACAGGTTAATAACAACTCACAGTTTGTACTCGCTGACTTGAGGTGAAAAGTCTGTTGATGGGAGATCAAATGGAAAAACAAAATAACATCACAAACCAAAGGAAGAGCCACGTACTCCACCTTGAGAGCGGCAGCCGAGCGGAAGATGTGGGCAGTGTATTTTTAGCAACAGTGGCAGCAAGTGCACAAACTTTTCTTTCTTTTTTCTTTTCTCTCCTCTTTCCAAGCGGGGCCGCCTTGATGCACGACTTCAACCTGTACTGTTACACACATCAGTGTTGATTCATCGGCGCTTTGGTCTGGCGTAAAAGGCAAGACGAGCGCTTCTGTCGAGACGGAGCGACGGTTAGGGAAGAGACAGCAACTGAGGCAAAGCCTCTTTGATAGTTTTTGTTGTCTGTCTCTTTTTCTTTTTTCTTTTTTTGCACTTTTTCTCCTCCACCTCCGCCTCCGCCGTTTGACTTTCAAGGCTTTTCTCGGTCTGATGCCGCGTCTCGATTTTTATCGCTCTCTCTCTCTCGCTCTCTGTAATGATGACACTCCACCGAGTCCCAAAACCCCTCAACCTCAGCTCCCCCCCCCCCCCCCCCCCCCCCTCTCTCCTTCCCCACACTTCCTCCTCCTCCTCCTCCTCCTCCTCCGCCGCCGCCATCATCCTTCAGCTCGCTTCAGAAAAGACAGAATATTGGGGAGATGAAGCGAGAGAGTGGAGAGGCTCTTTGGTATGCGCAGCGTGTCGTGGATGTGGAGCGTTTCAGGCGCTGTCGCTCTCTCCACCCTCCCCTCTGCTTTCCACTCTGTCTCTCACTCTCTGTCTGTCTATCTGTCTGTCTGTCTGTCTTCCTGCCTGTCTGTCTCTGTCCGTCTGTCTGTCTGTCTGTCTGTCTGTCTGCCGCTGTGCTTGTTGTACAGAGCACTTGGCGGCTCGCCACTCTGGGCTGCCTGCCACCACTGAGGGTACAGTATGTACAGTCTACCTTGTGCCAGCTATTTATTTTTCCCCTCTCTCTCTCTCTCTCTCCTGTCTCATTCTGTCTCAGTCCTTCTCTCCACATTGTTTTTTTTTATTTTTTTAAATCCCTTCCTGACGTTTAACGTTTGACAGCGTTGGCAGAGCCAGATCCTGCAGACAGGGGGTTCGTGCACGGCGGAGAGCGCGGTGACTCAGCCCCTTTGCCTCTGAGGTCTTAGATGTTGTTTGTCCTTAAATGATAGCAGCAGTTTCACGCCACAGGTGAACAATAATGGCAGCAATTTGTGAACCTAGACCAAATTATACGACAATAAAATCCAATAGTAACCACAATCATTTTGGATTCAATCAAAGCTCGGGCCACGGTGCTTTTTTTTTTGTTGAGCATCACAGATTGTCGAGTATCTAAAGCTCGTGTTTGA